GCTATAATTATATTACAATGATTAATCGTTCTTTATTTGTTTTATACAATGATGGCGACTGATCAATCTCGCAACATGACTATATCCAAAACACATATCTTATTGCAGATTTGGATTTACCATAAGAACCTTGACCGATTTTAAGAGTTTCAGATTTTTCTAACCAAGTTTACCGGTCTTCAGAAACGGTTTTTTAGAGACCCCAACCTGAGGTCATTTTTAGCTGAAAAAAGTTGACCTAGTCTTTTTTCAGCTTAGAAACCTCCGAATACATATTTAAATACACATTTCCACTCAGAGTTGTATGAACACTCAGAATATCACGCCAAAAATTGATTTTTCTCAAATTGAACCTTGATGGCTCTCTGGAGATCCTGAAGTTTTGAGGGAAACATTTTTCTCTTGACCAACAATGCAAGGGAACATTCCCAGGTGTCGGAACGCTTTTCAGTCGGGGTGTCGCGCATCTTGTAGCCCCTTTCTCCGTAGGACTCTACTTTTCCAGTACAACCATGTTTTTGAATTTTGACATGAAACTTTGTCCATATAAAGTTCTCAACTAGACTAGCTTGCAAAAATACAAATTCAGAATTTTTCGACGAAGTCTCTTCGAGATAAGAAGACTTCAAAAAATGCATTCTGTATATACTATCTGAGGAAAAGAGCTTATTTCTTGAAATCTTTGTATCTTGAAGAGACTCCGTCGAAAAATTCTGAATTCTTTTTTGCAAGCTAGTCTAGTTGAGGACTTTATGTGGATAAAGTTTTATGGCAAAATTCGAAAATACGGTTGCACTGGAAAAGTAAAGTCCTACGGAGAAACTTCATTGAAACATCGATATCTCGCTAGGAACGAGCCATGGGCACGAACTTTTTTACCATAGACACACCTCACTAAGGGCTACAAGATGCGCGAAACCCCGACTGAAAAGGGTTCAGACACCTGGGAATGTTCTCTTGTTAGTCTTTCGGAAACATCGATAAAATAGGTGTGGAAATTTTCTCCTAATTTTCAAGCCTGATTGAACTTTTTAGAGATCACCAATTTACATCGTATTCTACAAGTTTTGAGCTTACGGGCGAAATCGAAATGAAAGTCGCTGGACAACGAATATCTGATGTATTGCTTAGTGAGAGTGTTTTGAAGACAGTGGCATAGTCATTATCGTCTGGGTTTGAGTCTGAATCAGAATATCGACATGTTCTCAACATCTTGATCAAATAATTCTTTATCATCTTCATTTTGCTGAAACTTCGTTCATTGGTAGCAGTTGTTATTGGTAATGTTAATATGTAATTGTAAACGCTTGATACTTTCGGATATAGATGTCCAAATTGTTGTAGCAATTTTGAAATTCCATTCATATCATCACATTCTTTTATTTGATCAGATAATAATTGAAATTCTGTAAATAATAATGGTGGACTTGTCAATTTGGGAATTATTCCACACATATGTTTACATTCATTTAATGTTAAGTTTTCAATTCGACTGGGTGTCACATTAATAAACCATTTTAGTTTCTCATTCAAAACATTTAAAAAATCAGAATACGTTGTATATAGGTGGTCGAGAATTACACGAAATAATTTCAAATAGAAAGATTCTCTATACATAAAAAAATAGAAAAATAGAAAAATATCTCTATCACATGTATGACCATTCAAGAAATATAACTTCTTAATTAAACTACCTGGTAAGTTGAACAACGTTTGCTGGTTTTGGATCAATTCGGCATGATGGTTGACGAAATCGGTGTAATCGATTAAACTCTTTATCAATATCAACATCATATGGTTCAATATGTTTTTCACCTAACTAAACAGAACAAACAATTCAACAAACACAAATATCAACAATATATGACTTTGCCTACCAGTAAAATATTTTTCAATGATTGATCATCATTTCTCATCATTTTGATTAATTTTAACGTATTGGTTATTAATTCCATTGATGATAATATATCCAATTGTTTTGATTGTAGATGTACTGTTAATGAATTGGTTGTTCGTGTTATATTTTCCATAAATTTTAATAACACAATTATTTCATATGAAATAAATTTGTTTCTTAAATTCTTACCTTGAAGTTTTGATTCTTTATCAAATTGGTCTCCTTCTTCAATCAAATGGAAACAATAAATAATTTCATCATATGATTCAATAACAGCATGAATGGATTCATAATTAGCAGTCCATCTTGTATCAGATAAAGATTTGATTTGTAAAGCATATGGAGATTTATCAAATGCTTCACGAAGAACATGACATCTTTTTATACTCAATGTAAAGTAATTATATAACTCTTGTAATAACATGAACAAATTGATATATTCAACAGAACAAACACAAGCATATTCCAGTCAAATTAGAATTATGTGCACCACATGGGATATGTAAGATTTCCCGATTTAAATGGTTTGTGACACATGCTTGTACACCTTTATGAACACCTCCCATATTTGGAG